CACTGAGCCTCACTCACTCCCCATCAATACTCCATTCACTGAGCCCCGCTCACTCGCCATCAATACTCCTCTCACTGAGCCCTACCCACTCCCCATCAATACTCCACTCACTGAGCCCCACGCACTCCCAATCAATACTGCCAATCAATACTCCACACTCATCAATTGTTATTTGAAGTATTTTTGTGTCGCTGACCTTTAGAAAATGCTGTTTACTTAGAGGTTGACACCATGCTGTATTTGAGTGACTATTCACAGAAATGTCATTATTTTTCCCATTCAGGTGGGAATCTCTGGTGTTAATATCAATGTATGCCATCTACATTGTGATCATGAAGTGAGTACAGATTTTTCGATAGCTGGAGCTGTGATGCTTTGTGATGGGGATATTCTGCTGAATTGAGCGTTATTGTACGGGAAACACTCTGCCAGCACTCTTTATTTGACTTTGTGTCTTATCTATCCACTGAAATGGCCTCACCAGTGTTCAGTTTGCGGTCAAACAGGGATGGGCAAGAAATGCTGGCCTTTCCGGTGATGACCACATTGTATGAAATAAGAAAGTGAAAAGCATCTTTCATGTTGCTAACAGACATCTATGAAGTAATTCTGCACATTCTCCCCGTGTCTGCGTGGGTTTCCTTCGGGTGCACCAGTTTCCTCCCACAGTCCAAAGATGTGCAGCTTAGGTGGATTGGCCATGCTAAATTACCCGTAGTGTCCAGGGATGTGCAGGCCAGGTGGATTAGCCATGGATAGGGTAGGGGAGTGGGTCTGGGAGGAATGATCTTCAGAGGGTCAGTGTGGACTCAATGGGCTGAATAGCCTTCTTCTGCACAGGGGATTCTACGATTTCTTTCTTCTTAAGACATTTGGAAACTCAACAATGTGATTACCCAGGCGTTAACACGTTGACTTATGTTATTTCCATTCCTAATGCCGATTGAAAACAGTCCTCATGTACAAACATCAAGGGCATTTGCAGCCTGGAGTTTAGAAGAAGGAGGGGATTCTCATAGAAACCGATAAAATTCAAACACGTCGAGACAGAGGGAAACATGGGAAAGATGTTCCTGGTGACCGGGGATGTCCAGAACCCGAGGTCACAGTCTGAGGATACAGGGAAGGCCATTTAGGACTGAGATGAGGAAAAATGTCTTCACCCAGAGAGTGGTGAGCCTGTGGAATTCCCTGCCACAGAAAGTGGTTTAGGCCAAAACATTGAATGTTTTCAAGCAGGAGTTAGATATAGTTCTCAGGGCTAAAGAGACCAAAGGGTATGGGGAGAAAAAAGGAACAGGGGACTGAGATGGATGATCAACCATGAAGGGCTGAATGGCCTACTCCTCCTATTTTTATGTTTACAGCCACAGGTAGTGTCGTGCCTCTCATTATTCTGTAAGTGTCAAATAGAACCCCCCCACCCCGCTCATCCTTCTAAACTCCATCAAGTACAGATCCAGAGTCCTCAAACACTCCTCATGTGACAAGCCCTTTACTCCTGGGATCATTCTTGTGAACCTCCTCTGGACACCCTTCAATGCCAGCACACCCTTCCTTAGACACAGTGCCACATTGATTGAAGCAAGTGGTTGAACTGTGTTTGGGCGTTGTTGCTAACTGACAGTTAATACAGACACTGCACCTCTGACAAATGCAAGTCTGGCCTCCATTGCCTGCAGCTTCGGGCGTGAGTGTGGACTGGTTCTGGTATAACCCACATGACAAGCTCCTGTTTCTCCTCCTCCTCCGATAAGCACAGCTTTAGGAAGAGCCATTGTGCCATTTTCAGAACAAATGGAAAGGTGGCCAAACGTAGACAACAGCACGATCACAGTGAAACCTCCTGGAAACCCCATTGGCAAAAACCCAAAATCACAACAATACTGTAACAGGTACCTGACCATTTATCATTTGCCCCTTTCAACTCATTTATAGACTCGACTCAATATTCCTGGCTGAGAATTACTTAGTCATACAGGGCATTATAAAAAGAGACATGAACTTGAAGCTTAATATATTTCACTCATCAGGACTGAAATAATTTACAAAACAAACAATTATTTATACAGCATGCAAAGAGAGTGCTGATTGGTTGGACTATGCTTGGCATGGAGATGCAGCATAAGATCTTAAGATAAAGGAGCATGATTAGGCCATTCAGACCGCTATGTCTGCTCTGCCATTCAATCATGGCTGATATGTTTCTCAGCCACATTCTCCTGCCTTCTCCCCGTAATCCTTGATCCCCTTATTAATCAAGAACCCATTTGTCTCTGTATCTTTCTAAGCTATAGACCGTTTAGCCTATAGTTGGTCATTGATAAGATTTTAGAGTCCATTATTAAGGATGAGATTGCAGTGTACTTGAAAGTGCATGGTAAAATAGGATGGAATCAGTACGGCTTCATCAAGGGATGGGTATGCCTGATGAATCTTTCAGAATTCTTTGAGGAGGTAATGAGAAAACTAGACAAAAATCCCATTCACCAGCTTGCCTTTGTCTAGTTTTCTGTCCTCTGCTTCCCTCCCTTCTTAAACAGGGATGCCACATTAGCCATTTTCCAGTGCTCAGCAACCCTCCCTGACTCCAGTGATTCCTGAATGATCACCACCAATGCCTCCTCAGTCATCTTCAGAACTCTGATCCGGGTGATTTATCCACCTTTAGACCTTTCAGCACCTTCTCCTAAGTGATGGTCACCATACTCATCTCTGCCCCTGATTCTCTTGAAGTTCTGGTACGCTACTGGTGTCTTCCACCATGAGACTGATGCAAAGTATCTATTCAGTTCCTCTGCCACTGTTTTCCCCCTTTACTGCATCTCCAGCCTCATTTTCCAGCAGTCTAATGTCCACTCTCTTGCTCTTTATATAATTTACTAGTTGGCTTACTCTCAGATTTCTTCTCCTTCTAATTGTCTTTTTGTTATCCTCTGTTGGTTTTTAAAGGCTTCCCAATCCTCTGGCTTCCCACTAATCTTCACCACACTGCATGCACTGGAACCTGTTACCTGTCAATCTTAGTTGACTGATAAAACTCAAACCTAACAAGATTGGTCATGGCATTGCCATGGGTTTGCCACTGGGATTGGGTGTCTCCACAAACCCTTTCCAACTGAAAAATGTGCGGGCATATTCCTGTTGCCTGCAAAGAACAGGACCCTGTGTGTGAATGCATGTAGCTGTAGCACACGCAAATGAATCACACAACAAGCCCGACTGATGATTTTAAATTGCTTTCCGGTGTAACCCATAATCCTATCTAGTCTAAAGTTTGCCAGCTGTAAAGTATGCGTCTCACTAGTGTGTGAAGTCCACTATTTGAAGTCCTGGCTGTGACTCACAAATGAGCCAGAGCTTTGACATTATCTCCAGAAGGATTGGGAGGTGGAGCAGGATTGAGTCGCTGGGACAGTCAGAGTGAGGGATAGGGTTACTATTTGGGAGTTAAGTTGACTGCACCAGATTTAGCAACATGCTGAACAGTGAGCTACCCTGCAAAAACTGGCAACAACACCATCCCATTTCATTCAGAAGAGATTCTTGTCATATCTCCCTGAAACCCACCCCATTGTTTCACAACAATGAAATATGCACGGCATCTCCTCACAAGTGTTGGGCAAACATGAATTTGACTTAGCTTCATGATGTAAGCTTCTGCCTTTAGAGATAAACAATGAAGAATGATGCTGTGATCTTCATTAATGACTGCTGTTATGGTGTCAGGTTTAACAACGTGATGCAGATTTACTTTGAAAATAAATGGAAGAAGACTTCGGTGAACATGGCCAATGGGAATGCAAACAATACCGAAATGGATGACAACAGCAACTGTGATGCAACCGTAGTCTTACTGAAGAAAGGTATGGTTCAGTCTTCGTGTACTGGAGGCAATCTCTTGGTCAGTACCATGCCCATCAATGTCCCATTTTCACACCTTGCCCCTCACACTAAAGGATGCATTTGACCAGGAAAAAGATGGAGCTTAAGATATGCAAACATTTGACTTTATTCATGGGATGTGAGCATCACTGGCTAGACCAACATTATCTGTCCATCCCCCCACAAATCCAAAGGACGGTTTAGAACCATCCACCCAAGAGGGAATGTACATTTACTTTGACTGTGAGAAATGGGGCCAGAGGAAGAAAGAAGGTTTTACTTGGAGGACCGGGATCTGCAGTAACCAAGACACATCCATCCTGCGGCAAAGTGGAGTGCTTCTCCCCATGTTGCAGATTGACTCTCAGTAACCCAGTGTTAGGCTCACAGTCTGAATAAGCAAACAAACACACACAGACACTTGCACACACACAGACGTGCACACACATACACACAGATACACGTGTACACGCAGACACTCACACACACGCAGACACTCGCACACACATGCAGACACACGGACACACACAGACACTCGCACATACACACAGACATACATGCACACGCAGACATGCACACACACTCAGACACTCGCACAAACACGCAGACACATGCACGCACACAGACGTGCATACACACACAGACACTCGTGCACACACAGACACGCACACACACAGATGTGCACACACACACAGACACTTGCACATACACACAGACACGTGTACACGCAGACATGCACACACATAGGCACACGTGTACATGCAGACACACACAGACACACGTGTACACGTAGGCACACGCACACACAGACACTCACCCATACACATAATTTTGCAGAAGAAAGCAGATAAGAAAAAACGTCAGAAATGCTGTACATCATGTAGCTTGCTCTAACCTGTGCATCAGACATTGTGTTGAAAAGTACTTTGTCAGGAATCTGTACAGTTCTGCCTTTAAAAAGCAGTTAGTGCCCTGTATCAACAATAAAAGAGTCAACCTCATTGCTGTGGATCTTCAGACAAATGTAAGCCAAGCCAGACCAGGTGAGGATGGCAGATTTTGTTCCCTAAGGAAGTGAATCAGATGGGTTTTATGACAATTGATGATGGTAACATGGTCGCTATTGGGCGAGTGTTTTAATCCCAGATTTCATCATTTGCAGTGGTAGGATTTGATCCCATGTCCCCCAGGACATTAGTCTGGGGTTCTGGATTATTACTGCAGTCCCATTCCCGCCATACTCCTCCTCTCCTAAAGAGAGCTTTGTGGTGGGGAGGGAAACAGCAGAGAAGATTGATTAATGGGTAGTTCCACAAAACAGGAATAGCACAGGCTTCAGATGGGAGGTGAGGGGGCCTAGTTAAAGAGCAATTACCTGGGCCATTATCATCGATATCCCAAGCCCATTGGGGCAGCACAGTGGCTCAGCGGTTAGCACTACCCAGTTTGATTCTACCCTCAGACGATTGTCTGTGTGGAGTTTGCATGTTCTCTCCATGGCTGCATGGGTTTCCTTTCACCATCCATAGATATGCAGGTTAGTTTGGGTTGGCCATGCTAAATTGCTCCATAGTGTCCAGGGATGTGCAGGCTAGGTGGGTTAGCCATGGGAAATGCAGGGATAGTGTAGGGGGTGTGGGTCTGGGTGGGATGCTTTTCAGAGGGCCAGTGCAAACTTGATAGGTCGAATGGCCTGCTTCCACACTGTAGACATTCTGTGATTTATGGCAGAAGGAATAGAAAGGAAGGACTGATGAGCTGTGATTGACAGAGCTGGTTAAATATCTTGTTAAAAGGATAGATTTTAAAGGAGATACAAGAAGCAGCCAGGGGCTCCAGAGCGGAGTTGCAGGGAGGAACATCTAAGCACCCGGTGGTGGGGGTCTTTGAATAAGATGGATTTATGAAAGGTGGGACATTGAGAGGAAAAAAGTGCAAAATGTAGAGATGATAAGTCCATAGCTGATGGAAGTGTAGATGAGGACATTATTAATGGTTCCTGACTGGTCAAGATGTATCTTTGGGAAACCTCTGAAGGGACTAGACTGGGGCATTAGCTGGAGATGTCATTGCTGGTGATACACTGTTAGTGTTTGACTGGATCAGTGTGAAACAACACAGCAAAAGCCTGACAGAACTGAGCAATAGAAGGTGACATGGAGGATAGCAGCACTGACTGTCACTAAAGGAACAAGATGTGTGGGGGCTGGGGTGGGTGTGTGGAAATAATGACCAGCAGAGTTGAGGAAGTGACCAGGAGCAGCCTCAGCAACTGGAAAGATGTGGGTTTGGGAATTGACTGGGAATTTTGGCTGCTGGGAATTTTGCACAGTCTGAACAAATGGCTGATGAAGGTGATTGGAATCAGTGGAAAGGGAATGGGATCCATAACAAGGGCTCAGAGTTTTGATCCTGCCCAACGCACACTTGGGCAAAACTTTGACTCAAGTCATGACGTAACATTGATGATACAGTCTGCTAACACTGAGCTGGTCACCAGATGGTAGCAACTGATGGAAACCTGGAGCTGGGCACTGACAACATGCAAGATGAAGCTGACCTTGCCCTTGCCAACAATGGTACCAAGTGTCACGTTGTTGATGTTAAAGAGGACAGAGACCACAACAGATCCATGGGGAGTTCTAGAAGCAACTGGACACAACAGAGCTGAGAAGCACAGGGAATGCACTGGGCTGGGTTTGAGTGAGTGGGTGTTAAGGCAGACAGGGACAGGCTCATAGGGCTGGGTAATAGCAGAGTGAGATGGCCCTGAGCACCAGAAAGAGGAAGAAGAATGTTAACCAACAACTGGTTACAGTTATGCAGAATGTCGGTCACAGTATCAGATTTATAAATCATGTGGAAGCCAGACAGAATGACTTCAATGTGGAAGATCTGTTGAATGATATTTCAGGCTCGCCCTGTTGCAGGAAGGATATTATTAAGCTGGAGAGGGTTCAGAAGATATTTACCAGGGTGTTGCCAGGACTGGAGGGTTTGAATTATAAGGAGAGGTTGGATAAGCTGGGACTTTTTTTCACTGGAGTGTAGAAGGTTAAGGGGTGACCTTATAGAGGTTTGTAAAATCATGAGGGGTAGAGATAAGATGAATTGCAGAAGTCTTTTCCCTAGGGTGGGGGATTTCAAGACTAGGGGCACATTTTTAAGGTGAGAGGAGAAAGATTAAAAAAAAACATGAGGAGCAACTTTTTTTACACAGAGAGTGGTTTGTGTGTGGAATGAACTTCCAGAGGAAGTGGTGGATGTGGGTACAATTACAACATTTAAAAGACATTTGGATAAGTACATGAAGAAGAAATGTTTGGAGGGATATGGGCCTAGTGTAGGCAAGTGGGACTAGTTTAGTTTGGGAACATGGTCAGCGTGGATTGGTTGGACCGAAGGGTCTGTTTCCACGCTGTATGAGTCTATGACTGGAAGGCAATGGTATGTTGCAATAGTTCTTGTTTGGGATTACTGAGCCACTTTGCAAGTGGCACCATGCTGTGAGGCCAACGGTTAGAAAGGGAGTGTGCTTGGACAGAGGGAGAATTGTTAGCAAGCAGGGACCACCAGCAATGTCCATTGAACTGATAGGGCTGGAGAGGAATCTAAGAACAGGAGAGACGTTTTACTAGAAAGGCAGTCTTGGAAAGGGCAGTGAGTGAATGGGAGATAAGCCATCCTGGCCAAAATGAGAGGGGAGAGTCAGGAACAAGGAGGAGAGGGACTCTTAGTCGGTGGCAAGAAGACACGGATTTACAATAATTGTCCAAAATTTCAAGAGTAGATGAGAATTTAATTTACTCAGTGAATTGTTATGATCCAGAATGCACTGACTGAAATACTCATGGAAACACATTTAATAGGAATTTTCAAAAGGATGTTAGTATAAACAAATGGCAGGGCTCTGATGAAAGACAGGGAAGTGAGTTGACTACTTAAGATTACTAAACCATTGGAAACAAAGGCCTGGAAAAAATTCATAAAATGGTTAACCAATGGTACAATGGATACATAAAATCATACATCACATGGGGCGGGGTGCGGCAGTGTTTGTGTTGGCTCTTTGAACAGTGCTATCCAGTTAGTCCATAATTTGGAGAATTACTGGCAAGACTTCTACTCGCAAGGCTTAAAGTTGTTATCTTTTCTTCACAGCCAACTTCTGCCGTAACTCCTCAGTGCTTATGGTGGACGAGCTGCTTTCAGCTTATCCACACCAGCTCTCTTTCTCCGAGGCCAGTTTAAGGATCATGATAACCAGTCACTTTGGACCCAAAACCAGGCTCAGCATGGCTAGTCGCATGCTCATCAATGAGGTACTTCACTCCCATCAACCAGCTACAACTGAACAGAGAGTTCAGGGGGTGTGAGCTTCCAGGTGTTAACAGGATTAAAGGGAATGCACTGTACGTGTCATTGTTATCACCCAAACTCAAGGTGTTCACATCCCCTCGAACTGTAAGGTTAAATCATGGCCTACCTGTAAAAGCTTAAAACCAACAGTCCAGCCATGATATTATGATTCTATGGTTCTATCATTTTCAGTGGTTAGCACTGCTACCTCACAGCACAAGGGACCCGGGTTCGATTCCAGCCTCAGGTCACTGTCTGTGTGGAGGTTGCACATTCTCCCTGTGTCTGCGTGGGTTTCCTCCCGGTGCTCCGGTTTCCTCCCACAGTCCAAAGATGTGCGGGCTAGGGTGGATTGACCAAGCTAAATTGCTCCATAGTGTCCAGGGATGTGTAGGCTAGGTGGGTTAGCCATGGTATTTTAAGTTCTGGTTAACAATTTAAGAGAGAAAGAAACAAAAGCAGAAATTGCTGGAAAATTTCAGCAGGTTTGGTAGCATCTGTGGAAAGAAATCAGAGTTAACTTTTCAGGTCCAGTGACCTTTTCCTCAGAACCCTTCCTCTGTCTTTTGGTTTTGAAAAAGAGAAAGACATTGACCATTTTTGGAGATGGGAATAAGACATTGAAGCGTTTGGCACGACTTGCAGAGTAGTGGGGCTTGATTTCCAGCCCACTCCCCTCACCAAAGACATCACAACATGGAGAATATAAGACTGCTTTCCCAGCTGTTTTACTGTCGGCTTAGAGAGGGAGGGAGGCATCAAACAGGGAACGCAGGACAGGAAAGAAAGTTGTCCCTGGGCCCAACTTTGTGCAGCAATGGCTCCTGATTTCTATAGAAGAGGCCTCTTACATGGATCACCAAGTAGAGAAATTTGAGATAGCTCGAGGGATTTCATAGCTAAAGTCCAATGTTACACAACCGAAGCATGAATTAACAATAAGCAGGAAAGCTTTAAGGGAAGAATTTTACTTAGATGAAAATCAGTACTGCTTTACTATAGAGGACTCACAGTTTGGATTGATATTTTGTTTATCCGTGTTTCATTTTTGTCAAGGATTGCCTGAACCCAGTGTGTACCTAATTCCTGAGACTTTTTTTTAAGCAACAGAGCAGGCTACACAATTGCATACAGGAAAAACTAATCCGGTAAGAACATAAGAATACTTGAAATGAGAAAGGCCCAATCAGTGCCATAACACAGTCAGAGACAAATTATATCTTGCCCCATCCCACAGGAGAATAACCTCCCTGTTATGATGACTGAGGGAAAGTCCAGTTAAACTTTGTCCTGACCATTCCCCCCTTGAATGCGATTTCTGAATGTCCATCTAATGTCATTCTTCCATTGTTCAACTTGACATTTTCCTGCACAGCCTTTCCCATGCGGTTACCATCATTTGCCCAATGTAGACAAGTAATCAGTGAGGATCCTGTAAGTAGTGGGCACTATACCAAAGTAAAAATCCTGTCCCATGTAAACATAAGGGTGACACTTCCAATTTTATACATCATTGAAATAAATGAATGTTGAAGACTTCAAATCTATATTGACATGATCTTCTTTAAACCAAAACGACTGCAGACATTTGTTCCCTGCTGTGAATTTATGGGTTGCTTTCTTAATTATTTCCATTCTCCTTTCAGAATCCACTAGTTCTATTGGTTCTGCAGGAAAGCATAGATCCAGGCTGTTGGCACCCAACCAGCCTCCTGCCCCAACTGGTGATAAACACAATCCCCTTTCTTATTTTCAGAGGCAAAGGCTAATTAGCAGCAAGACTGTCTCCAACGGTGAACCTGAAGTTTCCATTAAAATACCTTCGAAACACAACATCGAGAATGGAACAGGACCGAGCAACTCCACTGAGAGGAATGTCAACGGGCAGAGGAGGGAAGAGGACCGAACTGAGGTCAGCAATGAAAGGGAGAATGAAAACGAGAATGAGGACAATCAGAACAACGAGAATGATGAAGAGGAGGAGGAGGAGGACGAAAGCGAGGGCCCATATGTACCATTCCACTTGCCAGGTGAGTTGTCCAAGTTGACCATAGTGCACTTGGAAGTGCTGTTATCTCTAAGTCAGAGAGTTGTTGGTTCAAGTCCCAGTGCGGGAGTCTCTCTGGAGGAGTGCTGCGCTGTTGAATGACCCATCATCTGCCCTCTCCAGTGCACATAAGTTATCCAGTTGTGCTATTTTGAAGAACAGGGAATTATCTCCTGTGTGCTGGCCAATGTTTATTTCTTGATCAGCATCACTAAAACACATTACTTGATTATCGACATATTGTTATCTGTGGGACCCATGCTGTAGGCAAAGTAGCCTCTGTGCACCCCACATTACATAAGAGACTTCACTTCAAATGATAATTTGCAAAATGCTTTGGAATGTCCAGATGTTGCTGAAGACACTATATATAAAAGTGCATCTTTCTGGAGGTAGTAGGAACTGCAGATGCTGGAAAATCTGAGATAACAAGGTGTAGAGCTGGATGAACACAGCAGGCCAAGCATCATCAGAGGAGCAGGAAGGCTGACGTTTCAGGCCTAGACCCTTCATCAGAAATGCGGGAGGGGAAGGGGGTTCTGAAATAAATAGGGAGAGAGTAGGAGGCAGATAGATTTTCCAGCATCTGCAGTTCCTACTATCTCTGATACAATTTTAACCCCACTGCGAAGCCTCCTCTAAGGATGCCTACCCTGAAGAAGTTACCCTCCTCCCTCCGGACAAACCTCAGGGGATCTCTCTCCCACTGCAACTCTCCATCTTTTATCTGCCTCCCCCTCTCTCCCTATTTATTTCAGAACCCCCTTCCCCTCCCCCATTTCTGATGAAGGGTCTAGGCCCAAAACGTCAGCCTTCCTGCTCCTCTGATGCTGCTTGGCCTGCTGTGTTCATCCAGCTCTACACCTTGTTATCTTTCTGGAGGGCTGCTTTTAAGAGGGTTGGTGGTCGATTTAAGTCCCAGTGGGGTTTGGAAAAGGAGAGTGACTTGGATGCTCTGTATCTATTCTGAAGCACTGTCTTCTGTTATGTGTCCCGGCTGTGTGCTTTGCTTTATTGTTCCCTATCCCCAATTCAGCAAATGATCACTGGTGTATTGTTCTGAGGATGTTTGTTATACATTGAACATGCTAACAGTACCTGCTGTTCGGTTCCCTCTGCTAGTACTTGTTGAGTGACTGCAGTCTGAACCAGAATTCCCTCTGTCATTCTGTTACCATGCTATTTGGAATTGATATAGTACGCTGTAGTTTTAATCTGCCGTTATTGTGTGTGTTGAAATAATGCTGTGCGGTAATAACACTGAAACATGTAAACATATTTGTCTCAATTTGTTCATCCAGCCCTGCACCTTGTTGTCTCAATTTGTGTTTGAATTCATATGTGCTTTCAAATCCCTCCTTGGCTGCGCACTTTCCCCATCTTTCTAATCTCCTCCCACCCCAAAACCTTCTGAGGTTTCTGTGCCTCTCCAACACTGGACTGTTGTGTATTCTTAATTTTAATTGCTTCATCACGAGTGACCAAGCTCTGTTTGCATAGCCCCTCTTTACACCTATCTATCTCTCTATCTCATCACTTTCTTCCTTTAAGGCACTCCTTAAAATCTATCTTGACCAAACTTGGGAAAATCTGATCTAATCTCTTCTTATATGGATCAGTGTTATACTTCATGTTATACTGTTCCTGCGAAGCTCCTTGCTATGTTACATTGTGGTAAAGGTGTTATAGTCAGCTTGGAATACAGAATTTGCTGAAAAAAGGACATTTTTGTTGAAGCTTTTTGTAATTGGTAGAAGCAATGCCATGAAGAATTAATGATGATTGACAGTTAACTGCAGGCTTTGTTTAAATTTCACATGTTCTCCTGCATGTCAGACAATAGAGCCAAAGGGTATATAGAAATATATGTCATGGAAATTTCTCTAACCTGTTGACGTAAGCAAGAGCTACATTTCTAGAAACCCTCTTAAATATGTCAGATATTTGTAAAGTTGAAGAGATAACCTTTGAGGTGCCATCACTGTTGTGATACAGGAAAAACAAGAACTAGGTTACAGATGTCAGAATCCTACAAAGATGTGAACACCATTGTTGAAATGGCATATATGCACACAAACCTATTGGTCCATCCATAAGCCGTGAGTTGCATTACATTTTCATTCCATTAAGTTAATGTTCTCTCTGTGCTAATATTTGAATGTATTTGTGGCAGCCAGAAATTATTCCCCTGTAACTTTGTAGGAAATTGTTAATGACAGAATTGACAATGGTGCCATTCAGCCCATTGTGTCTGAGCTGTCCTTCAAACAAGCATTATGATTTAGTTCCAATTCTCCCGCCTTTCCCTGTGCATAGTATCTATTTAAATAATCTCGAATGCCAAAATTGAACCTCCCTCCACCAGGTAATGCATTCCAGATCTGAATCCCTCATTCAGTGAAGAAGTTTTTTTCTCCCATCACATTTACTTCTTTTGCATTCACTTCAAACCTATATCCACTTGTTCTTGTACCTTGTACAAGCTGGAACAATTTCTCCCTATCTACTCTGTCCAGCCCACCCACGGTTTTGAAAACCTCAATCAGATCTCCTCCCATCTGCCTTTTCTTTGTGAAAAGCAGTCCCAACTTCTTCAAGCTAACCCCATAACTGAAGTTTCTCACCCCTGGAACAATTCTTGTAAATCTCTCCTGCAAACTCTCCAATGTGTTCTTATAATGTGGCACAGTACTCCACCTGACAGGTCTAACAAGTGTCTTATGCAAGTTCAGTGTAACGTGCTTGAAGGTAAATCTATGCCCCTATTAATAAAACCCAGAATTCTGTACATTTAATAACTGCTCACTCCACTTGTCCTACCACCTTCAATGGTCTGTGCACAAAACGCACCCAGATTCCTCTCCTCCTATACCCCTTTTAGAATTGAACTCCTTATGGTATATTGTCTATCCATGTTTTTCTGCCTAAGATGCATTACCTCCCTTTTCTCTGCAATGAATTTCATCTGCCATCAATCTGTCCATTCCCCCCCAAATTGTCAATGGCTTTCGGAATTCTACACTGTCCGTCTCACAATTTAAAATGCTTCCAAGGTTTGTAGTCATGCACTGTTTCAAACGTTCACTGAAAACAGGGTGGCAAGTTCCTCCTCTTCTTAACTGTTTGTTCCAACTCTCGCTGTTTTCTTTGCTGTGTTTGTGCCTGGCTGTTATACGACTGGAAGATATTAGTTCCCTTCAATTGGTAAAGATGAGGTGTTCCCAGATTAATTCCCAATTCCCAGTCGGCATTGCAAAGCCAGAGCTTAACAAAAACCAATCTGCAATGGGAAATAATATGAGGCAGAAAGCAGCAATGTGGATGTCTGGCAACGGTGCAAACAGTGTCTGAGCATGCACAGGAAATTTAGGTTCAGGAGAAAGCAAAATGAGTTGGATCTGGTGAAAGCTGAGATGTACAGAGCAGCTGAGATTCCTGGCTTCAGTCTGTGATATCCACAGGAGAACAACAAGGGCCACAGGTGCATGAGAAAGCCATCACTTCCAGTTTCCCATCAAAGCCACTTAGCATCCTGACGTAAACATTAATCATCTCGCCATTGCTGGGTCAGAATTCTGGACAATGTTGCTGAGAGACCCCTCACCCCTTGGACAGCAGTTGTTCAAAAAGAAAGCCCACTACCACCTTCTCAAAAGCAACTGAGAATGGGCATAATATACCAATGTTGCCAGTAGCAACCATATCTGTAGAATCTAGATTTAAAAATTCATTTGTTCATTATCTCCACGAGTCCCAATCCATGTGACATATTTCAGTTTTGAAAGAAAAATGCTCTCCGACAGGAAACGGAAAGAAAGTCTTTAGTTTACAGAAAGAAGATACAATAAATTGTTTATGTTTTCAGTTCAAGACTGATGCTGGGTTTTGTTTTCAGCCCAGTTATTTGCTTGCAAAGATTGCAAAACGCCTCTAATGAAGACAGTGACTTCATAAAATTAATATTTTCCATGATGATCTGTTTGCTGCTTCCAGCTGGCTTTTGATTGATAGGGAATGTAAATCATTGATAGGTTTGCTCCATCTCTCTAAGTTTATCTCCCCTGTGAACAGCTGGGGATAGATCCACTCTTTCACTTTCTGAGGGCAGTTCAGGCTTAGAATTAGAATTAGGTTTATTGTCATGTGTACTCAAGTACAGGAGTACAGTGAAAGGTTTACAATGTCGTCCCCTCACAGTGCCATCTTAGATACAAAGCACAAATCTTAGATACAAAATCGAGAAGTAAAGATTTAAAAAAAAACGGTTGCATCACCATACAGTGATTCATAGAATAAGTTAGAAAATAAGAAATGAGGTTAAAAGGATAAACATTACAGTCAGATAAAGAGATTACAGATAAACATTATACTGCAGCAGATCTTTCAAGACTGGACATTTAGACACGGGGTCATAGCCAGCTGCAGCCCCCCTCAACACTCCCTCCCCCAACCCCATCCGATAGACGCAGCCAAACCTCAAGGCTTTGAGTTCCAATGCAGTGAGTAGGAGAAGTGGTAAAATTCCTTGTACTTCTTCAAAATAGATCAAAGGGGGAATTATTTAGAAATGGATTGTAACGACCACCACGATACTGATTAAAATGGTGATGCATGCCTCTTTTTGTCTGTATCTCCACAGTGGGAATGTGGGATGTGGTAAAGTGGGCGATTGCATGGCCGCTGTGCTTTCTGATGTACTTCACGATTCCAAACTGTGCCAAGCCTCGTTGGGAGAAATACTTCATGTTCACATTTGTCTCAGCCACCTTGTGGATTGCAGTTTTCTCGTACATGATGGTGTGGATGGTGAGTACAAGTTTCACAAGGGGCCAGAGCAAAAATGGGCAGACCCCTCCTGCTCTCTGGGAAACTTTTCAAGTTTTTCGTTCAGAGTTACTGCAAGCTGGAGTCTCTTTGACAGCTCCCCCAATGGATCAGCAGATGATGACACTCCACTGTGGGTTCCTCCTTCAAATCCTGGTCTGTACAGAGCTCCCTGTCCTTGGTTAGCACAGGCAGTGTCAGTCTAATTCCATTTTCCAACTCCGGTCACTAAATGATCAGATGTGGCTCTGATTCCTGATTGCTTTGTAGTGGTCTCTTCCCCAACGAAGGTGCATGTGCAAACCCTGCGTAAGGACAGGATTTGGTATAACCTCTTGGACTTCACTCAATCTAGATTTATTGTCCCACATGTATATTAAAAAATACAGTGAAAAGTGTTTTTTTGCATGTTATATGCAAGGTGTCACCGTACTCCAGCTCCATCTGGAAACACCGAATATAATGCAAGATTTTACTGCAATGCAGTTCATCTTTCTCCATTCTGTTTGTTCCTCCTCTACTGCTCAACGTTATGTCTGAAATGGGCTCCAGGGTTTCTGTAACGGGCTCCAGGGTTTCTGTGACAGGCTCCATGGTCTCTGTAACGGACTCTGGGGTCTCTGTAACAAGCTCCAGGGTCTCTGTAACAGGCTCCAGGGTTTCTGTAACAGGCTCCAGGGTCTCTGTAACGG